CAGGCTGTACGAAAAATAAAGGCAACCCGCATGCTTTGTGCACAGCAAGATGCGTGAAAAGATACCAATATACAATCATGCGAATCGTCTAGAACCCATTGAGTTCGCTTCACCAAACGAGTTTGAACCAATATATTGTATATTCCTCAATTTGAGACAAAACTAGAATGTTATATTTTTCTGTTTACTCAACTAAAACGATTTCTTACAATATAAAAGTCCAATTTTGAGAAAATTGAGTATTGGAATTTTCCAAATTTTCTTTCACGACGAAAGCTGTAACTTCATTCTCCGGCAACAAAAAATGATCAAAGCTGAGCTTTTTTCAGGCCGATCATCTTTCCTTAAATAAAAGCTGATAGTTATATTATCTTGCTTAGTCTTTTTATCCACATTTGAAAACTATGAATCATAATAAAGATTCAAATGAACTCATGTAATACTATATGTAATTCTAATTCTAATTCAAAAAGTTATTTGTGTTTGTTTGCCACAATTAGTCATAATTGAGTTTTCAGTTTTCTCTTAGTCATTGAACGGCTCTTCACTTAGCTAGTTCTGTTTAGCAAGATGCATGTTTTTTAACCTTACTACCTACCTTACAAACCTACCTTTTTTTTTTAAAATCACCGGTTTCAACATCATAGGATCCACAGTGGTTGCAAAGAATTTTTCGCTTGCAAAACTGTAAAACAGATGCATTAGCAAAAAAATCCAGCATGGATGTATTTTTAAAGTGCAGTTAGCTAGAGCAGAGTTAGATGCTGATCATTGAACAGGACCGCCACCAGAAGGCCTGCACATGGTCCCGAAAAATATATATATAAAATTTTTTGGGGACAACGACAAAATAGTAACCGCGAAAACACAAAACTACAACATAATCAAGTTTCTAGCGTACCAAGCCTATTTGACGGTCAATACAACTAAAAAATTTCCTCGGTCAAACACAATCGAACAAGTTTTCGTGGTCGAAGTTTTTCTCGGTCGAAAAAACTCTTCGATAGAACTCGGTCAAAACGTTTTTCCTCGATCGAATGTTTTTCCTTGGTCAAAAATAGTCGAAACATAGACAGCTTGAGTCAATTCCATCGAAACATATCGAGCCTGGGTCGAGACGTTCGAAACATACCACTTTGGTTGAGTCGATCGAAACATAAATCGCAAACCTCGACACGCGCCTCAGTTCGATAAATTGAAAAATCTGAAACACTGACGCTCATTTCACTATTACAGGGTCATTGCAAATTGCCAAACTGTCCGTTAGTTGAGACATGTCAGAAAACTGCTGGTCACCGAATTGCAGCCAAAAAAATAGTATACCATTTTCACTAATTGATCAAGTGTCACCATAATTTCAGAAATTAAATGTAAATTAGACAAACAGCTGATAGTTTGTTCTAATTTTGAGCAAATTTGAAATCCGTATTTTATACAGAAAGGTTCTACGTTAGGTCGATGGGTATTCAGGAGAACCAAAACACGAAAGCAGTCGCGTCGCGTTTGTACCAAAAAATAATCAGGCCCACTTGTACCAAACTAAAAAATCAGTCACATTTCTACTTTTCCTAGGCTGGTACGAAATTTTTATCATATTTTATCTCTAATGATCTCTTTTCCTAGAATGTTATAATACTTTTATGTAATCTTTATGTAAACTCAACTATCAAATTTTAAGTGTTTCAGTTATTCGAGCCCCTGTATATCGCGTTATGTTATTTTGGTACACAAAAAATCGTTTATTCATTTAGTACAAACGCGACTGATTCCTTATTTTGGTAGAAATGACCACTGGTACAAATCGGACTTTACCGAATCACAAGTTTATGAAGCAAATTAAAGCTATTTGATTTATGCGAAGTTTCTCAATCAAATACTTTTTAAGTATGGGAAAAAATTCTTTACAGACTTTTCTTATGATTTACTAGGGAGGGTAGGAAATTATACTGATTTGCTTGCCTAGAAGTTTTCCATTTACGGCCGAAACTTTGGTCAACCCGGGCCCTTTCACTGAGCAATTGAATTATTCTTGTAAAATTGCATTCGAAAACTTGTTTAACACTGGGCGATGGCAGTTTCTCTTCAATTGGTCGTTGAGAAATCCTTATTTGTCTAATTTGTCTCTTTCCGTGTTGGGAAACTCGACAACATCAATTTTAAAAAGAAATTCTGTTCAACCACAAGCAATCCCAATCTTTTTTGGAAAAAATTTATACGGAAATTTTAGTTTCTGAGGCCAGACCATACAACTTCTTTACTTCGCTACATAAAGAGTAAAGGAAGCGCATCAGATTCCCGCAGAAACAATTTGAACCTATACATACAAAATCTTTGGGTTACTTGCTAATTTGTTCCCACAGCAAGGATACCACTTAAACCAGTTATTAAATAGTGACTATTTTAAGCCCATTACGAGGCCAAACTGTGTATTTTGTGAATTTTACCCGGATTCCCCAACAAGGACGATTGTGGTCAAAAACTATTGTTTTTAAAGGTGTCAAAACTAATTGACCGCCATGCTTGAAAGATCCGAAACGTTCAACGTGAAGTCTAGTTTTTCTGAAAGGAGAAGAATCAAAATTTACCAGCATTTTGGATTGACAGGATTTGTTATGAAAAAGATTTGAAATTAATTTCAAAGGCCATAAACAATAAAACTATTGGCATAATTAGGCTAAATAATAATAGCGAAAATGGAAATAATTTCCTTGGTCATTGCTCTTGTCATCAGCAGCAAATATGCTGGAGTAGCCAAAAATTGCAGACCCGTTTTTTGTCACTGAATTTTTGTTCCATTTTTGAAACCCAAATTATGAGTGAATACGTTGCAAGACTTGGGGGACATCAAGTTTTTGGTTTTTCAAAACAATGGAAATTTCAGCTTGTTATATAACTAAGAGGCACTCAGCATATTGGTATGGCGTTCACTTTGTGATAGTCAGATCGCTAAATTGATCCCCTGCAATGGCAAGGATAGGTAGTGAGGACGAGCTATCACTTGACTTCTAGCTTTTGGTCCACCACAGCCTGACCAATTTGGGCTGCAATAGTGGTATCACATGAAGGGTCTAGACGCACAAAATGACGCTGCGTCGAAAACAATGAGCTTTAGTCAATAAATTAACTCCTGGAATGTGGGGAGACTAGAGAATGCTTTGATAGGCTGGATAGGATTTCATAGATCCTCTGCGAGTCACAGAACCCACAACTATTATGATTACTATGGTGATTATTTTGATTATTATTGTGATTATTTTTATTAAGAATTTGATGTGATTATTTTTAAACACTGGCCTCAAAATTTGTCTACAACAAAAAAATTCGTTTCTGTAATTTATTTGAACGAAAAATAAATATCCCACTATCAAAAAGTTCTAAAATCAAACATCGTTTTGCAAGATGTCCAAACCGGGATAAAAAGACGAACAAGGGAACGCCAAATAAATATTAACTTCTCGTCCTACTTGTAAAAACAGCCAGGATTTTTATAAACTACATGTGTGCAAAACACGTTTTTCTTTCGCAATTTTGTCAAAATCGAAGTTTACTTCAAGCTCGCTACGCTGAGTTCTCAAAAAAAACACGAACTGACAGAAATGTTTTGCAAGCGATTTTATTATGATAATTTAGAAAAAATTTGTTTCGAATCGAATCAAAACTAGTTTTGTGAGATACAAAAATCAATCGATTCAATTCCATTTTTCACATCATTTTTGATAAAGATGAGGCAACATTTGTAGATAGTAATTTGGTCAGCTTTACTAAAATTTTGATGGGTTTGGACAAAAAATCGAATTTATCTCTTCGGTAGAAACCCATTCCGATCCATTCCTATTCAATTTAAGTTGGTAAATGGACTACAGTGAATCAAGCTTTTTCAATGTATATTTTCTGTACAAAAATCAATTTTTGTACAGAAAATATACATTGAAAAAGCTTGATTCACTGTAGTCCATTTACCAACTTAAATTGAATAGGAATGGATCGGAACGGGTTTCTACCGAAGAGATAAATTCGATTTTTTGTCCAAACCCATCAAAATTTTAGTAAAGCTGACCAAATTACTATCTACAAATGTTGCCTCATCTTTATCAAAAATGATGTGAAAAATGGAATTGAATCGATTGATTTTTGTATCTCACAAAACTAGTTTTGATTCGATTCGAAACAAATTTTTTCTAAATTATCATAATAAAATCGCTTGCAAAACATTTCTGTCAGTACGTGTTTTTTTTTGAGAACTCAGCGTAGTTTCCAGTTTGCCAGCGCGGCTCTCTAGTGTCAATTAATTGTTTTTTAATTGAGGGCTGGACATTTTTAGCAGACATTATTGGGGCATTTTTTCCAAATTTTACCATCAGACCCCTTGTGTTTGCCTCAATTCTGTTTGGAATGATTCAAACCATCGCTTACGCGAGTTAAAAGAACGCAATACATTGTGTGTGAATAATCGCCAATTGGCCAAACTACGAAAAATGATCAGAGGTGAATTTTTTTACAATTGACCTCCGGGTAGCGCTATCATTCAGATGGCTCAGAAAATTTCTGTCAAAAACCTTTAGTTACAAAGTCGACAACAGATTTTTTGGAAGTCAAAATATTAGTCCAGTATATACGTGTTTTGATGTGCAGTTAGAGAGACCTATCGGTCAGGTTCATTATAGAAAAGTAGAAAATGTCTCGGTGCAAAAATAATTTATGGCAAATAAAGGCAAAGAAGTGCAGATTGGCTAAAACGTAGTATGGTGCATGACTGATAAATGAAACTAAATTCTAAACAACTAAATCACCATATTTATGACGTTTATCGGACTAGACGCATGTTTTTTATCCATTAACTGTCGGTGGCTCTGACTGTTTATTTCTTGTAACTGTGTAAATGTATATTCACGCGGTTTTAAAAAATGTGCATGCTTCTGTTATACGTTGTTTTTTTTTCTGGTTTAAAATTGAATTTTTCTGAGAAATAATATCATTTCCGCGCCATTCGAAGGAGTTTGATGAATCGTGGAAAAATAGAAGTGCACCCTGCCCCTTTTCCCTCGTCGTTGGAAGGTGACTGGACAGCCCATCTCAAAGATCCATCTCCTGCTGAAAAAGAAATCCGAAGACATGCTGAATATTTAGGAGCAAAAGGCCATTTGTTCACGTCGATCGGTGCCCCTGAAATCGCAGCTTCTGGTCTTGTTACGAAGCATGAGCTGCGGGAGATTCTGGATCCGAACAAAAAATGCGACTACAATTTCGATAACGAAGTTGCAGTGACGAATTTGTTCTTCAGTGAAAAACAGAAACATTTTTGTAAGTTCAAAGTGATACAAAGAGAGCCTGACGCGGACTCGGTTGACTATTTTTTAAGTTTTCTGCCCATTTTTGCAAAAATTTTCAAATCATTGGAAAAATATTTGACAATTTTTACCATTTATGAAAAGAAAATGCCGCAACAGTGCCGCGACAATTTCACAGAAAAGGTTAAAGTTTGGGCGAAAGAAAGAAATATTAACTTAAAAATGCGATTTGTTTACCGGCATATACAAAAACTCGACACTTTATCTGCTTCGATTACGCCAACAAGTACGGAACAAGAAAGATTAGATGCAGTTTTGAAAGCATTGATAAATGCTAGTAAGAGTAAAGATGACTGCATGTTGACTTTGCAGTGTACAAAGGTTGAGGTCAGCGGAGAAGAGCTGGATCTTTTCAAAGACCAGCTAAAAATTGCTCAAGAAGTTAGAAAAGAAGTATCCGATGACGAGAATAGTCTATTCACGATTCCGGACGACGACAACCTCATTCGTAGACTGGCAGCACGTGAATCAGATAAGCATGGAGCTTACACTTCAGAAATCGTTCAAAAAACAAGCGGGGAAGTTGAAGACTTCTACAAAAAAGTGATTGTGCAGATGGCAGCTGAAATAAGCGGCACTTTAGTGTACTCGGTCAACGAAATGATGCTGCATTCGTATTTGTCCATAAGGAGAAGACATCGTTATGAAATAGACTGGACTTTATTCTCCAAAAGTGGGATGTTTTTGATTGAAGTCAGCGACGCCAATCAGCACAAAAAAGTACGTTTAAATACAATTTATCAATACAACAAGACTGCTCGTATCAGGGCAACCCCTTGAATGTTCCAATCGCTTCTAAAAATCCCAGGAATAAGCCATCTTTTGAACAAGGTTAAAAATTTAAAAATTTCAGTGAAAAAAGCTGAAAAACCCCCCACACACTATCTTAAGTACTAAAGAATAAAGTTAGCATCTACCAACGTTATATTAGCTTCAAATACGTTGCTTCAAATCAAAGCGGAAAATTTTTGAGCCCGATTAAATCTACGCTCACGCTACTCGCTTTTTGAACGTGTCCTTTCAAAACATCAACATGGTTTCGTCAAAGGGAAATCAGTGGCCACGAATATGCTATCATTCCTGAGTAAAATTTACAGAGCACTAGACGAGAACCCAACAGATGACGTTGTCGCTTATTATATGGACTTCTCAAAAGCTTTTGACAAGGTGCCGCATCTTGAATTGCTGAAAAAGACCGCAAATATTGGTGTAGGAGGATGCCTGCTGGAATTTCTTTGTGATTATCTAAATGGACGAAAACAATATGTAAAAGTTGGGAAAACTTCTTCAGTGACTCTAGATGTGACGAGTGGTGTCCCACAGGGATCCCTCCTGGGCCCACTTCTGTTCTGCATTTTCATCAATGACCTCCCGGACCGACTGAAATTCTCTGACCCGTACATATACGCTGACGATCTGAAACTTCTGACAGTCAACACAGACCTAATCAAAGTGCAACAGGACTTGAAGTCCATTGATGACTGGGTCAAGGAGAACAAGATGGCGCTGGCTCTCGATAAATGCTCACAACTGGTGTTCAGAGGCAGAGCACACGATCTGCAGCTTTCCGGATCAAAACTTGAATCCTCTACAGAAGCGAAAGATCTTGGATTTATAGTGGACTATAAATTATCCTGGAATAAACATATTGATATGAGACTGACCAAAGCTAATAAATCATTTTACTTGATTAGACGTAATATAGCTTATAAAACACTACCTTTAGTCAAATTAGGCCTATATAAGTCTCTTCTTATTCCAATTCTGATATATGGACTTTCATGTACAAATCTTAGCCGAGGAGATCTTGTACGCCTGGAGCGCTTCCAAAAGAAAGTCATAAAATGGACAGTAACAAGCCCGGATACATACTATGTTAACCAGCTGCGAGCACTAAATGTGCTCCCACTACCAATGTACTTACAACTCAAGGACCTACTGCTACTCTCTAGCCTTGATGGACGAACTGATGTGTTTCCACATCTATCACAGTGCCCGCAGACAAATCTCAGAACTAAGGACGTCTTCAAGAGTGCCAAAATCAGAACAGAGAATGCGCGAGGGGAATTCACAATACGTACCAGTCGAATTGCAAACAGAATTGACAAACACGTTGATTTCACAAACAAAACTGGACTCAAGAACCGAATCCTACAACTGATGTGGAACTTCATGGATGAAAAGTACAACGAAAACAATATTTGCACTTGGCAACTTGCGTGCGATTGCAACCAATGCAGAAATAAGTGGACAATATTCTAATAAAAACGGAAAGGGAGCAACACCCATCAGCCTTGTGCTGTAAATCCACTACAACAACAACAACAACAACAATAGTCCGGTTATGTAAGAAAGAAAGAAAGAAAGAATTTATTTCTTCAGATATGATGCATACAAAAACATTTAACAATCAAACATGCGAACAAAATCTACAAAGCATCAATTAATCATCTGAAGAGGATAGACAAAGGTCAAAGATATGACCACTGGGTGTCTACCCTGAGTATAATAACAAACAAGAACTGAAGACCAGTATAAGTGAACTGAAGACAAGTATATGTAAATAAAATTAGAAGAGCCTAAATTTAAGTAAATATCGCATGTTAAAAGTCCCAATATAACCAAATTGGCGTTTTCAAACTGCCATAAATTTTTATAAATTGAACTTAAGATGCCTGTTTTTTCACATGATTTTTGACTCCATTCAAATATGGCTCGTTGAATAAATTAGATTTTACATCAATATGTTGTTTTTTTTCTTTTTTGTCTTCTTTTTGTCCCTCCATAAGCCGAGTAAAATACAAAAAGATGTTTTCAGCGTTTTGTATTGCATTAAAAAACCAACACAAGAACACAAGGGCCTCAATTTGATTTTGAACTATCTAAATTGCCGCTAACTCGTGTTGAAAGAGCGCAAAATATGGCCAGTAGCAAAGTAGCAATTTTCAAAACACGATAATTTTACAAAAAGAAACTCAGGTGGAAATAATGCTAGTTGGAGCTCAAGACAACAATGTCTTTCAGATGGTTGAAAAAATACTGTTCAAAGACGATTAACTAAAAAACTGAAGTGAACTGAAGAAGAAGCAGTCACCAATACTTCGTCATTTTCTTTGAAAGTGGGAGTAAAAAATCACACCAAACGTGAAAAATAGGAATAATAAATTAAGGAAAAAAAAGGAAAAATAAAAAAAATTCCATCGGCCTAATGAATTTTCCGAGCTACCGTAAAACACTAATAAGATCCTCTATTTTGACAAAATTATCTCCTCCGCTTTTTTCTCTGTTTGGAGAAAAAAGCTAAGAAGGACCGTTTTTAAACATCTTTTGGCTGAAAATCTGTCTTTTTTTGTGGCTCGCACTCTCATCTCAAATTAACATAACATCAAATGTTTGGGTCATTAGGGTATCAAAATTGGAGGGCGGAGAGACCACAGCCCTTTTTTTTCTGCATAAAAATGGTTTCAGGTATATTCAACCTACTACACTTGTCGATTGACCCTCATAAGCCAAGATAGTGAATCATTGGTTCACGCTATTTATTTTCAAACTATAACCGCACCAAGATTTCTCGGATAAAAATCAATTTTTACTAAAAATGTTTGAACAAGTTTTAGTCAATATAATCCTTTATTGCTGCAAATTTACACCAATAAATCAATAAACCACAAAAAAATCTATTAATTAAGAGGCCACAATTACGTGTATTTTGTGAATTTCAGCTGGTTTTGCAACAAAAACATAATTGTCGCGGAATCCGTAACATTGCTCTTTTTCTTTGATCTTCCCTGCTGTTGTGATTCCACGGACAAATAGCTAAAACGCCGTATTGCTCAAAATCGCTGCAAAAACAGGCAATTTGACTAAATCCGCAGCAAATTTTGTGGCTTCCGGAGTAGTTTGTGGAATCCACATACAAACAAGACTGTCCGTATCAGGGCGAAGCCCTGAAAGTTTCGACTGCCTTCTAATGTCTATGCAGCAGTAATAATACGGAAAAGTTAAATGTAATAAAATAAAATTAAATTTTTTTTCCAGATTTTTTGTGAAATTAATCCCCCACACGCCATATTAAAAACAAAGTGATAGATTTTGCTCCTATTAACAAATCAATTACGGCATATAATCTTCCTTGAACCAATTTGGAACAATTTTTAAGACGGATTAAATCTCGCTTACGCGTTAATAGTGCTAAACATATCGCGCGTTAATTGTCTCAAATTGGCCAAAATGGCCAAAATGGCAATATTTAAGCCCCATAAAATACGAAAAATGATCACAAGTGAAATATCTTTTCAAATTTAAGCTTAGGGCAACAAAAATTTTAATTTGATTTTAAAAAAAGTTTTGTCAAAAATGGTTAAAAAGTCGAAATTTGTTAAAAAGAAAGATTTAAAAAGTTAAAAAGTCGAAATTTGTCTGAAGAAGAAAAAAATCCACCCCGAGCTCAAATATTCCGTTACTTACGTTACAAAAGCTGGAACAATAATAATATATGTGTTTAGTAAAGTTAGGCTGTCGTGGAATTGTAAGCTGAATCCACAAATTCTATTGCGCAATCAGGATTATATAGCTATATTCGCTCGCTGCGGAGCTCCCAACAAAAGTAATGTGCCGACAAAATTCACATTACAAATAATTGTGCGCGGAATCCACTGAAATTTTGTAGGTGGACACTTCTTACAATTTGGACTATGATTAAAGACTTGCTTTCGAAATCCAGTGACCTGCAGACACCAAGCTGTGAGCAAATCCCGTGTACAGTCTGATCTCGTAATTTAAATCCAATATAATCGGTTTTTTTTTTCAAAATAATTGATTCTTTTACGCAGACTATAGATACATAGCAATTGATTAATTCAAAATGCAAAAAATGAATTAACGACAGTGTTTTTTATATCACAGGGGCGGATCTAGGACTTTCTCGAGGGCGGATGGCGGACTTTCAAAAAAATGTTGAAATTTTGTCAACATTTTTCTTACATTGATCAAATTGATTTTCAGAGCTCTCCCACAGCATTAAAAAACCCTCTTTACCGCAGGCAAAACTTTGAAAAAACAGGCCAAAAAGCATTTTAGGCTCTTTTTTGAAAAATTTTGACAAAAAAAATGCGCTTTTTTTGGCGCGCGCTCCCCATTCAAAATTAGTATATATTGGCGAGAGGCGCCTTTAGAACATTTTTAGGGTCTATAACCAAAAATGGATTTCTCAAAATAGTACAAGGGGGACCTTTTGGGTCGGGAGGGGTCGGATCCCTGAAGAAGGAGGCGTCCCCCACCCCAAATCCGCCCCTGTGTGTCTAACTGAAAACTTCCCTCTGACCCAAAAAAATCTAAACAGTGATTGTAATAATTTTTTTAGGAAAACCAAAACCGATTATTTTTATACTTAGTGAGATGTCATGCTTTTAGGTTTCGTTGAAAACTATTTGTCAATTTTAAATGTTTCAACTAAAGTGGTAAAGAACTATAGCATATTTGTCTCAATGGCGAGAAACTTGGTGCCTGATGTTCAAATGTCTGAAAACATACCTGCAAAAAATTATTTCGATGTTTAGAATATTCATATTTTGTTCATTTTCTAGGAACTGGAAGGACCTGAGTTGCGGAAGTTGAAACAAGCATTCAATACACTTGTGCCGTTCGCACTTCAGCTGATTCACTGCCTGATGACTCATACTTCTGCGGACATCCAAGAATCCAGGCACCCTGAATTTATCAAGAATTTTTACAAAAGATACCTGAAAGTAGTGATATTTGTCAAAAAAATAAATCAAGAAGAGTGGAACAAATTTATTTGGCATAACTCACCGGGCGAGTATATCAGGAATGAAGCTCTTGAAAAAATGCCTTTTAACAACCGAAAGTACATTGTACCGTTCATTTACATAGCTGCTCTCGATGGTCATGTAGAAAACAATTTTCTCGCTGCAAAAATGCACCAGATTGAAATAAGCAGAGAAGCCAAAAACGCAAACTTGTTCTACGGAGAACTGCAGAGATTGGAATGCACGTTGAAAGATTTTTTGGATCCAAAATTGCAAAATAATTACGAGGAAAGAAGCAAAGTAGGAACTCTTCTAAGATCGATGGAAGTCATATTCTCGCTAGCTGCACGTGACTTCTATGAATGTGAGTTTAATTCCATTACGACAAATCCTAAAAAACCGCCGTTTTTTTTTTAGAATTTTCAAGTTTTTGATTTGCAAAATTGAGCTAAAAAACTCCAAAAACTACCTTTACTTGAGTAAAACTAAGTTTTCATGGCTTAAATTAAGCTTGAATAAACTATTGCAATTAGTAGCTACCTAACAAATTACCTCGAAGTAGACCAAAAATCATATATTTCAAACCAGTTTTTCTCAACATTGAATTAAATTTTTTTGAAACTTTTATATGTCGTTCAAATCACGACTGAAAGGGCTTTAATATGAAATTTTACTCAGCCCTGTTCGATGATTATTTTGGTAGCTGATTTTGCGTAGAAAACTAAAAGAAAAAAAACTAAAACACTCCTGAATTCAAACTTCCTCCCCTCTTTCAATGGTCGTAACAATGAACACTCTCTGGCCAGCATATACCTGATATTGATATCTTGACAAGATTTTAGAAGGTGGCATGCTAGCAAGTTAGCCATGTTATAGGAGTAAACCAAGATTAGTCATGATCTTGGCAAAATTTCCCAAGATCGAAACAATGGGTTGTTCGAGCTGGATGAAAACCACAGTAATTTGATTTTAAAACCACGCTGACTCTTGTGGAATTTTGAGATCCTAATTTTAACGGATTTTTTGATTGATTGATACCAGCTAGAAAAACCAACCGTGGTAAACTCAATTTCGAGAGAATAAGAGAACGACAATTTTTTTCGAGACAATCGAAACCAACCGAACTTTGTTTGAGAATTTCGAAACACCCGGAATTTAACCGAGACGGTCAAAACATAAATACCTTGGACCGAACACAGCACGGTCGAAACATATCTAACTTGGGTCGAGCACGGTCGAGCACAGTCGAAACAAATCTTTCCTGGGTCAAGCATGATCGAGCACATTTTTTTCGGTCGAGCACGGTAGAAAAATACCTTAAGTTGGTCAAGACGTTCGAAACATACTGAATTTTAGTCGATATGGTCGAAACATACCGAATTTTGGTCGAGATGGTCGAAACATCAAGTGAGCATCTCGACACGGACCATCACATAGCACAAAACAAGGGTAGTTGGTAGCTGTATTTACATAAAGTGCAGAAAGTTCTGGTCGCACAAATCAAAGTAGAAATACTGAAAAAAAGTGTACCGATTTTCAACGTTTTTCATTTTTGCTTTAAATTTTCTCTTTTTATAGTTATTTTTATTTTTGTCTATGTAGTCAAAAAAGCCGGAGCGGGTTTCGGGGAGATTATTTTGGGAAAAAATATGGTGATTATGATGTTTTCAGGGTATCCGCCTCTGCAAAAAGTTTTGAATCAGACAATAAATTGAAAAACTAGAATGAACATTCGCTAAAATAATTTAAGAACTATAGTTTTCGATAAACAAAAAAAGTTTACGTTTTTTAATATAAAATCATTTTTTTAAACTCAGTAACTCTGGGTAATAAATAACCATAGGTTAGTAGAAAAATACTTTTTTACAAAAAACTGAATTAAAAAATTATTAAAAAATTAAAAGGAACTAAGAACTATCTCCTAAACGAGGATGTGATATATTCTCTCAGCTTCTAACAATTAGCGCTGAAAACATTTTGCTTGGATTTTACTCACCGATTGTAAATTATGCATAATTTTAACAATAGACAAAGCGTCTTAAGCCGATCAGAAACAAAAAAACGCTTTCCGCTGAATGCAACAATTCAAATTAAATAAGAATAAATACTAATAACTTTTTGCCTTTATGCCTGCTTCATCCCACGGGATGGAGCCACGCATTACTCCTTTTGCATTCGCTTTCTCCAGTTCTTTTTCTTTTGGTTCCGAATTTCTCCGTCAAGTTTTTTAGGGCTAGTTTTGCTATGTACTTTTTTCCTGGTTTTGCAGATATTGAGACTGTAGTTGGCATTTTTCTGCGCAGGATGTTCAAAACTGTGTTCTCCGTGACAAATGTAGCCATTTGTAATCCCAACACCATTTTGTCTCATTCGACTGGTGGCTCCGTGGTATGTTTGTGCCAGAAGGGTGGTATATTCAGAGGGTTATTTTGATCACCTGCTTGCTGCGCCATGTCGTACAACGAGTTAAAATGGTACGGGTATAAGGTAAGAAGGGTACCATTTTGATTGTTTTGCCAGTATCGTACAACCGGGCCACAACTCTTTGCCCGGGTTGACCAAAACTTCTTATCATATAATTTCCATATATGAGAAACTTCTTGTCATACAATTTCATGCAATTCCATACGTACAGAAAATTGTATGAAAACTCTATGATAAGCATTTTTCCATATATGAAAATTCTATGATAGTGTGTTTTTCCATAAACCAAAAATTTTGATTTTTTCTTTCTAAATTTAGTTTCTGAAAAATTTTCGGTTGTAGTTGCAACCGAACACAAGTGGCACAGACCTTGGTTACTCAAAACACCAAAGGTTGGCCGGTCTTGCATTGACAATGCATAGAAAACGACCTGAATGTTCCCCATTCCATTATGCAAACCGCTATAAAAGCAAAGGGTAAAAATTACTGCTAGTAGTAGTTAGGCAACGCCTGCAAAAAACAGCGTTATTTTATGTAATTATACTACAATACCAATAACACCAGCAGGTGTAGAATTGATTGATTGTTCACTTGTCCGAAAAAAAATCACTCAACCTCAGCTGTTCAGTATACGGAAACAGTACATTATTAAGAGTAATGAACGTAGTGAAGACTCTTATATAGCTCTTGCTGATTTTTTTTTCAGGAAAAGCAGTAAAATATTGATGCACTTTTTGAGTTCAATTGAAATTTGAAATTCATCTGCTGATATGAACGTAAATAGCACTCTCCGTAAGCATAGAAGAATCCACATAGAAGAAAAGCAGTTCGCATGCGATGATAGTAGGAAAAGATTCATCCAGAGAAGTGATCTTGAACGGCATATGCGAACACACACAGGAGAGAAACCATTTATATGTGTGTTATGCCAGAAGAAATTTAGCCAAGAAGGTGGTCTACGAATACACTTAAGAGTTCACACTGGCGAGCGGCCTTATACCTCGTAAAAGATTGTTCCTGTTTGAGTTATCTTTTTGTTAATAAAGTAAAAGAGCGTACTCTTTCGGATAACAAGGTACAAGATTGTTTCGGTGTTGAACAATTTCTTTTTTGTTTAGGTCTATAAGTTGACAGGTGAAAATGTTAATTAACTTGAAAGTGGTTTCTGAAATTCAACTTTCTTTAATATTTTAGATTGTGGGATGAATGTTTTTTAATCTTTTAGTGGCTGATTTCGAAGTCGCGATGATTGTCTATGTGGATATTTTTCTTTTTGATCTTGTGGTAGAATTTTTTCTTCTAATTTTCGATTTTGTCTTCCTGTTTGAGTTATCTTTTTGTTATCTAAAACTTTTGATGTTTGTTTGTGAAGTTCTCTTTCATTTTTATCTAATAGTTTTTGGATAGAATTCATATCAGTGCTTTGATTTTGTTCGTGATCTGAGTTACTTTGAATAACTTTAAGTCCTGTAAAGGAGTATAATTGAGTCAGTTCACGAAGAGCGTACTCTTTCGGATAATAAGGTAAAAGATTGTTTCGGTGTTGAACAATTTCTTTTTTGTTTAGTTCTATAAGTTTGTAGGTTACATCAGTAGGTTTATCAATTATTTGATATGGTCCTTTTTGGAGTGGTTGTATTTTTCAGAAATTTGTAAATTTTGGAATTAAAACGTATGTTCCGATTTTTAAGTTTGTAGCTGGTGTAAATCGAGAATTTATTTGGGAATTAGTATTTTGTCTTTGTAATAATTTTTTGTTACTTTTGATAGATTTCATTCTGTTTTTTATCTCTGTTTAAAATCCATTCGGTGTCTGTACCGGAAGCTTATTTTTAAAATTTGTGGGTGATAAAAGTGATCTTCATCGTGGGTATGTAGTGGTAGATTATAACATATTGATTCTTTAGTGAGTTGACAATAACCTTGTGTATTTTTTGAAGATTTTGCTGTGAACATTATTGGTTTCCGTGGTTTTTGATTGAAAACCATTTCATAGGGTGATAGTCCTAAAGTTGTTGTGATTTGTGGGTTATAAGATAATGGGACTAGTTTTACAACTGTTGACAATTCAGTATATCGTGTGTCATTTCCGTTAATGATACATCTAAGATATTCTTGTAATGAACGGTTCATGCCTTCGACTAATCCATTAGTCCAAGGTGCATGAGATGTACGTTGTTTGTGCTTAACATTATATAAGTGGCATAGTGTAATGATTTCGTTGCTTATAAATTCGGTGCCCTTGTCTGTAACAAGGGTTTCGGGTAAACCGAATTATGCTATCCAGTGTTCATAAAGTGTTGTATATGCATAATAAGCATTAAAAGGGGGTACTGGGTTAAGTGCTACGTAGTGTGTGAATGCATCGACTAGGACCATTATATATGAAATTAAAAAATGAAGTTTGAGTATGTTTCTCTGATCCTGAGTGTCCTTTAGTGTGTAAAGAGTGAGAGATATGAAAAGCTATAAGCATCATACTTAAAGGTAGGCAGGGTACTTTTATATCAGATGTTTCGTATTCTAAAATATCTGTAGTTTCGTTGATAGAGGTATTATTAAAACTTCTGAAACATCTAGGAAGGGTTTTATTTCCTAGAATGGTGATATCGGCATCAATTGGCTTGGTTTTTTATTTGAGCCAAGATTTTGATAGTCCAAAGACTGGGTCAAGATTTTGACGTTTCTGTAATAACTCGAGTGTTATTTTTTCCGTTATTGGGAGAAAAATGTTTTCAATTTCTATTTTTGATAGAGTTATTGTATCTAGAGGGTCATGGAGGTTAAAAACATGGTTTATTGTATATTTTGAGTCCTTATTTGGTGGGCCTGATAATTATATTATCAGTTAGGTTTTTTTTTCTATTAAAAGGAATAGATCTGTTTTGTATAATTTTTTTTTGATTGGTTTTTGGTGTGTGTTGTTTTTATTCCATGAAG